TAGCTCTTGAATTGTGCGATTTTTGATACAGTCAAGCACCAAACTTTGTAGGAAAATGTACATTCCCTTATTGATCAATTCCTGATGTAGTGCCAAGCTCAATTTTCTAATTCCATATAGTTAGCGATAATTAGAGTTTTATTCATTAGACCCTCCGCGAAGTTATTGTTCAGGTTGTTTTTCGAGAATTGATTCACGTTTTTACCTTACGTTTTTATGTTTTTAATGCACGTATCACTGGAATAGCTATTTTTTTCTCCTTATTTTAACTTCAAGTACAGGTAATTTTCCCCCTTATAGTAGAGAGCTTAAGCATTGGACGTTTTTGATGTCACCGACATCAGAATACCGGGGAAGACTGGATCGACAAAGGCGTTTTCGGCGCGAAATTTTTGACTTAAGCTGGACACCCGCGTCACCCCGAACGTGACAGCTTTCTGTCGGAGGTCCTCCTCGAGTTTTTCTACCTCGAGATACTCTTCTATTAGCTGATCCAGTTCTGAAAAAGATGGGCTTGTTCCACTTGCTTTTGCTTCTCTCTTCATTCTTATTGAATACTTCTCTGCCAACAAAACGTACCGATCTTGCACTGATCGTTTTGTCATTGAATCCTTAAATAACGGATCTTTTAATCCACTTAGCGCCTCTGCGATCGACAGCCATATTTGTGCTCGGTTGCTCGTTTTCTTCTTTACTTTAAACGGATTCTGCACTCTGACTTCTTTCATTAGTGCTATGTCGTGCTGTTCAGACCATTCCATGGGCCCACTACATGAAAAGAAAAAATAGAAGCGAGTGTTTACTATAGGTAGTAGCTGTATAAAATAATCGGTCATATTTAAACACTTAAAATAAACTTATATAATGGCGTGAAAATTCATGCACTTTCTTGACCGTGGAACACGGCAACGGCATAAAACTCTCGACAAGAAAGAAAACGACTAACGGCAAAAACAAACACAAAGCAAGATAAACTAAACGGCGACATACAAAAACCAATTCACAGTAAAACAAAATCAAGTAACAGAACCCGAGGCAACTTGGACCAAACGCACAGTAAGACACATTTTGTCCTATTTCACGGAATTTTCTACGGTGAAAAGTATTTTAAAAAGTCATTGTTTAAGTACCTCTAGAACACTACTTCTTATGAAACATACACAGAGCAAAACAACAGGCACGGCAAACATCCCGCTTTCACGTCTGCGACCTCAAGTCAAAAACCTTTGCACATGCGTACTGACTGCGAAGCCCAAATTCAAACTTGCGGTTGACGTCCGTGAATGAAAAACGTCCGATGATTAAGCTCTCTAGAATCAAATGAATGAAGGCCTTAATTTGCGTAAGTCTGCATTTTCTCCGTAGTATTGCTGAAATGTAGAGAAAGGGCAGCAAGGCTTGCTGCCCTTTCTCTACATTTCAGCAACACTTTCTCTTGGTTCTGATGGCAGGAGCGGCATCTCATTCTAACTTGTGTCTGCAATTGGATGCAAATAGGTAAAGAAACCGTTGTTAGAAAGATAAAATGGCGAGCTTGAACATGTAAAGGAAGAAATTGGTTGATTTGGGAAAATTTGAAGGAGACAATGGAATTGCTCGGACATTTGAAATTCAACGTGTCACTTGGCATAAATCTCGTCGAATTCGACAGAACCAAACATAACCAATATGGATCACATATCTAAAAGGAAACTGTCGCGGCCAAAGAAGCAGCAAACGTACAGGAAGTATTTTCCAGACAGCAAAAATGTTCCAGTATGTTCCTTTTGGAAGGAACCGACCACTGAGGTCGATTGAAGAGAGGCGTGTACAATGGTTGTTGACTCCGATCCTGCGGCTGATCTGTTGATCACGAGTTTTGCCATTTGAATCTAATATCTACGCTAAGTACAATTGACATGATTGTCCTTGAAGCCAAATATCATCTGAGCCGTCTCAGCGCTGGTCAACCGCGCGCGACGACATAACAATAGGAAAGTCATCAGAAAAAAGAAAAACGTAAATGCCACTCTATTACTATAGCTTAGTTGATTTCCCACAAACAAAATTCTAGACTGCGACAGTCTCGAACTACCTTTTTTTAAGCTCTTGGACTCGAGAGAGGAGTTTTGCAAAAGGCGTGGCGGCAGAAAAGCAAGAGATACATTTGTACACTCTACGCGTGTTATTGACTGCTGACACCCAAGTTAAAGAGGTATTGTTAGTGTTTGACGAAGACATAGGAAAACAATGGCAATACGGTGAATTTAGAACGTAGAGCTAGCATAGCACGTAAGGAAAGGCGCAATAGATCATTCATAGCCACAGGACCTTTTTCTCAGAACTGCCAAAAGGAATAAAAATAATTACCCAGACTTTGCTGGCATCGGTAACCACGATCCCTGCGAGACAAACGTTAACCTGTACTTCCAGTCATGACGCCCACCCGTAAATCCGAAGAATACACTCGGCATGTCAAAGATCAAGGGAGGCCTTTACCAGTATGTATAAGCTGCATGCTGCACGGAAATGTACTTAAGAAAGAAAGTGTTGACAAACTGCATGCTCTTGGCATGTTGATAGCCAAGCGCAACAGTGCTATCCTTGTCATATTTTGTGTGTGTGATGGCAATACATTCGTGACGAAGTCTATTCTGATACGGAAAATTTAAGAATACCTGAAAAATATGTAGGTTTTATTGTAGATAATGGTCTACCTAACTGGAGGCCCATCGCGAAGACGCAGAGCGTTCTTTTATTTTCAACGAACGTGGGATTCTAATTTTGATGGTTACCAATCCAAATCCTTCCCCTTCCCTCCCCCCTCCCCCCCTGATAGGTTCATTTTCATGTAAATCAAATTCGTTTTCATATGAAAGGTTTTAAACGAGGGCTTATTTTTAAAACAGAGGTACAAAAAAGTTCGGAAATAATAAAATAATTAAAATAACATAAAAGTACAATGTGCAGTTAACTGGTGTCCGTAAATTCAAATGAGATTTAAGTTCGATCAAGAGACTTTTTACGATAACTGCAGAAATTCTCGCGCGCACATTGGCTAATTTTCATTGTCAATAAGCGGACACACACATGAATATATAATCTATGCGATGCGTCAACGAGTGAGAGCGGACAATTTAACAATTTGTTATCGTAAAAAGCAAATTGATGTCAGTTTTTAATGCGTCTGTCCTGTTATTGACAATGAATTTCGTCATAATATTGTCAAAGTAGTCACAGCTTCTTTGACAATGTTATAACGAAATTCATGATTAATAACAGGACAGACGCATGAAAAACTGACGTCAATTTGTTAAATATATAACCATAGTCTCTTGGTTCGATACACTTCCGGTCAGAACATCATCACTGTTACGACCTAGCAATATTTAAAGTATTAGAAGAAGGAACTCTTGCAGGCAAATTTTTTTGCCATGAATAATGATATTTCACATTTCGGTTGCTGAAAAGAGTATTGGACTGTAAGTGTCACACTTGGGTCGCGAGTTTTCCCTCTGCTTACTAAAATTCTTGTTGAGAAATGTCTTTCATCTTTTCTTGGGTGTTTCCAAATCTAATATGGCTAAGTAAACAGCTTAAGATCATTATGACATCTCATGCGACTCTTTTGAACGGTTGCAATGCGAATGGCCTTTTAAACAATGATTCGCCGAAGTGAATTTTGGTAAATAGTTTCCGAGACAAAGTAAAAGTATTATCCGTTTTAACTGATTCTTCGGGTTCCTAAGTACAGAATTTTTTTCTGCAATTTACGCGTACAGTTCTGCTTCCTGGAAAAACTCTGAGAACTAGATATTCACCAATATAAACCGTGGCTGGCTTTACGTTAAAAAATAAAAATACAAAATACAATACTGGTTTAATGTGAATATAGGCTTAGCTATGGTGGTGCACTACAAAAGTTTACTAGCTAGTTTACAGGTATATCACTAGAAAAGAAATATTAAACTATATTGAATATGGAGTGACAAAAATTGGCTAAAATAAGCTAAAATATTGTAAAAAGAAAAAAAAAACAGTGAAAACTTCCTTTACATATGTACAAGCCTAAGATTAATTAATAAATCGACAGAATAATTAACTTATATACACCGCACTATGTCCATCTAGGTCCTGTCAGATCTTGTTTTTTAATACTATTTTTAAAAGCCTTGTATGTTTTAATAGTTCTTGGAGAGTCCGGCAGAGAGTTCCAAGGTTTTGGCCGATTTCAGGCCCTACGTAGTGTGGTATTGGCCCTAGGCAGTTTTAAGAGGTCATTTCCTCTGATATCATATTTGTTTTTTTCTGAGGTTTGAGGTGAGAAATTAATACTCGACAAGTTCTGCTTAATATTCGAGAATGACGTTTTCATAAGGATTATTTTTTCTAATTTAGCTCCAATATTTTTATCATCCAAGCGCAGTCTCATTTGAGATATCCAATGCTTATTTGTTTAAATCGGCAGGTGTTTCAAACTGCATGAGAAATTCAGTCCTTATATGGAAGAGAAAGTGCTATCGTGGACCGGTTTTCATAGCAGTAATGTACTCTCTGGTGTTATCAACCTGTTAAAGTTCTCACTTTTCGGTAAGATTTGTGGAAAAAAGGTAAATTAAAAAAAAAAAAAACACTCAGTCCTGTTTTCTTCCTCACGTTTTGAGGCACGCACTTATCTTATTTTTGCCCATTTTCTCCATTAGCATTGATTTCGTCCATTACGCCCATGTTAATGTAAATGTAAATGCAAATTTAATGTCAAACACAAGGAGTGCTTGCGCAATCGCCCGAGTCAGGGGCTCATGATAAAGTTATCAACCTGTTAAAGTTCTCACTTTTCGGTAAGATCAGTGAAAAAAAAAGTAAATTTAAAAAAAAACACTCTTAGTCCTGTTTTCTTCCTCTCGCCCTCAAGCCTCTTCGCCCATAAGTTGAGGTCGTTTACAATTAGCCAATCAGAAAGCTATACAAACACATTGACACGAGGTTTAGTACTAATATCATCTAATGCAGTTGTTGATAAACTTTAATACCATCGAACAAGCGCTGTCTATCTACATCACGTTTAATCAATTAATATTTGACAAACTTTTTTATCTTTTTTTAAACTTTTTTTTATTACTTTACAATGCTTACAATACAATATGGACACTACTTACAAGCTACAGCTACTTACAACTGGACACGATATAAGCCCGGGTATTAATTAACAAATGCTAATATCGCTTACTAGCGAAGCACTATTACCCATTACTTGAAATATCGTAACCTAACTTACAACACCAAGTGAACTTAATAAACAGCCAATAGAGCGGTTTTCAATTGAGTGTCGACCTAAGACCAAAACCACAGTAATAACTCTGGCCAATCACAAAGGACACAGACAATCCAACGGACCAATCAAAACTTGAACAAAATGCACGTAGCTAACCCGACGCGCGGGAAAACGTGTGCCAGTAAGGTTTTGGTTTTACATTTGATTGGATTAAAAAGTGGCACGAGATTTTTACCCCAATAGCGTATCGTAGTGACAAAAACCAATTAATTTTCGACACTCAAGTGAAAACTGCTCTAGCTCTTTTTTAAAATGCAATCGCAAAGGCAATTGCAAGTTACAAAGAAAGAAATACTATACTTAATATAATACAATCACTGCTTACCTTTCTTCCCTGTTTCTTACTTATTTTCAGCCAAGGTACACCATGGAATAAAAGGATCTTATGACCAATATACGTGAAGTTACATAAGACTAGTTATCGCCCTTCTTTTAATTTAAATGATTTGAAGTTTTGTTCTTCATTAGCGCAGGTATATTTTTAAAATTCAACCCACCTAAGCATTTTTTTAGTATTTGAGATCTTCTGCAATTCCATAGATATTTAGTTTGGCTATCAATAAGAATTAAAATCTAGCAAGGGAGATTCTGAAGCTTAATGCCTATTAACACGTCTTGTAAACTAATACCCCATTCACGTCAACCCGTTAAACATGTTTAAAAGTGGTTTAACTAGACAAGGTTAAAATTTAGCTGCTCAGACCATACACACCCCACAACTTTACAAGGCAAAAACCTGTTTGAATAACATATGTTAGCAAGGTGACTTGACCTCTGTCTTCTCAAAAAGACTGGTCTAGTTGGTGTGAATGGCGTATAAGATGAAATCTATTTTTATTAAAAGAGAAGTAAAATCCAAAATCTTGCTAAACAATCTTGAGTACATACGGTCGAAACAGAGGTGTACTAGAGGGTTTCTGGTTCACTCTATATCGTCTATAAAAACTCCTATCTAAGATAATTTGATAGTAGTATATAATGTACAGTTGGTACCTGATATTGAAAAGCCTTAACATAAGCCTCAGAACACGCAATATGCGAGAGAAGAATCACTTATAAGGTCAAATCGTGTTTCTGAACAAGAGACTCATTAGAATGTATATATTACAATGTATGTTATAGTCTTTTGATTTTTTATGATGAAAAAATGTCAACTGAAAACATTGTTTATAATCAGGGATCAAAGAGGATGTTTCTGATAAGTCTCTGCACTCTCAATAACCTCTGCAAGACCTCGTTAGCAGTCGGCCTTTGCCGGGGATCAGTCGCTCGACATCGTTCCATCACTCTCCGTAGTTTACTCTTTGTAAATCTGCTTCCGTTCACATCGCCAAGAATTCTCTCCACAACCGGAGGAATCTTCCAAATGTCTATCTTTTCGTCGTAGGTTGGCTTCAGATCTGATCTGAAAGGTACGGACCCATTGAAAGGCCACCTTTGCTCTGGTGCCACAAACTGCAGCAATTCCTTCCTGTTTGCGCACAGTATTCCATTTTCGTCTCTGGCGTCTGGTGTGTTATCGAGGTCGTTCACAACCAAGTGAAAGTCATCCGTAATTAAATATTGCGTTAATAATTTACGTAGGGAAGCAGTGTCACACATCACACGAATTCCGATCGGACTGTTGTGCAGGTAGTTCATGATCTTCACATAATCCACAATCAACTGAAATCTCGTCTGTATGTTGTTGTATTGAGAGAACTCTGGCTTTTGAAGAAGTCTGTTCAGATTATTTGCTGAGCCATGTTTGTAATAGGCTGTTACAATCTGCAAGAAAATAGCAACGTAGACAGTTCATTAATTCGCATTGGCAGGAACGTCACACTATTCGAAATTAGTTTTAGTGTCTTAGTGCACGTTTCGCTTCTTAATAGCATTTGATTTACATGGTCGATTTTCATTTGCCTCGATCGGCGATACTACCTATGAATTTAGCAGGTATTTTAAGAACGTTTATCGTTTATATCATTCGACGGAATATTTGAACCTTACACGGGACCCAGGGCTGTGGTGAAGGGAGATCATAACTCAGAAACATTTCTCTGGCTGCCGTTAACTGTAAATATTTTTTGAAGTTCTGCACCAATTGAACGGTCGAGGGTATTGATGACAGCCCTCCAGTATCCGCGCCTCAAAAGGATGGTGGGGAGAAGTGATCCTGAGTTTACGAATGTTGCTGTTATTCAGAAGCGTGAGGAAGAAGAGTAATAAAGAGGGTGCAGGCAGCGGTGGCAGCGGCAGTGACGCACTTAAACGTAATTGCAAAGGTTGAAAAAATAATCCCATATCGCTTGATGAGTTTAAATTTCACAGCTAGTTGACAATTGATACACACTATCTCATGGTCAAATACTGTATAAAACCTACTGAAAGTTAACCACATGCGAGATTTTATTGCTCACTTGAAGACAAGAAATGCTGCAGAAGATATTGTATGGCTAGCTCATTCTCATATGCATCCAAGATCATGAAATGTTTAGTAAAATGTTTTAAGCAACACAGGTAAACTTAAAATCTTGTCAGCAGCGCTTTATTAAACGAGAGCAACAGAGAAATAATCAAAGGACTGAAATAATTGAATTACCTTTAGCAATAAGTATTGTAAGATAAAGATATCGCTAGCCGAATTAAGTATAAATACAAAGTACTCCAAAATGTATACTTTCAAACTCTCAAATATTTATACTTTCATGAACCCTTCTCGATTTCAATGAACATATTCGCAGTTTATATTTAGACAACGATTCAAAACTACTCTTCATCAGAACTCTAGTATTGCCGTATTTTTGTTGTGTATTTTTTGTTTACCCATCAGGCCAAACACTGTTGGAAGCATTTTTCCCCAATTGGATTTCTCCAATTCACACTTTCTCAGCCTTTTCCCTCAATTAGATTTTAACTGAACGTTCCCTTGAAGGAATCGTGATTTGCAAACAAGGGTTTTCCAAAGCCACTAAAATTATAGCTTGGTTTAGAATTCATAAACAAAGGCCTTACGTGGCAATATTTAAAGATATAATCATGTAAACAATACTCTACAGCTTGCGAATGAAATCCACGTATATTTGTCCGTGTTCGTTATCATATCCCTGAAGCCAAGATAAAGTTCGCGGTTAACTATATGTTCCTATTTTGTCTGTCGTTATATTCTCTTCAAAGTAATCACTTTATTCATGATATAAAATGCTTTCACGGGTTTATCTCACACTGATATCCACTCTGTCATGCGTAAGGTGTAATAAAACAACATAACTCACCTCTAGCTTTTCGTGACATCTTCCAATAAGACGAGTTACAAACGGTCCTTGAAGCTCTTCCATCCTGGTCATTCCGCGCAAACACTGCGTCTTAACTCGAGTGCTTGAGCAATTCACATACACAACGCGATGGCCGTTCCAGTCTGCCAGCCATTTTTCTTTCACCATTCCTCGGAAGGTGCGCTCATTCAGATGAACTTGGAGAGCAATATCTGAACAATTTAACAAAGGCTTGCATTCACTCCAGCCGGAAAAACCAAACGTCCCGTTAATACATGGTGCACAACCATTGGGCGTTGGAAAGGTGTTATCTGAACACGATATATTTTGTGCGTAGAAAGCGTCGGTGTTTTGTGTTATCTCGTTATTTATTTCTTTAGTGTCGTTAATATAACCGTAATACACATATATGTAAAGCAACACTAAGCAAACTGTGCAATAATAATAAATGACTCTTAAGAGGAGTTTCAGTCTGTTTTGTAACTTGTTTGCAAGGAAGCTGTCGATCATTGTTGTGGGCTAGGTGGCGGCCGCGTGGAGAAAAGAGTTTTACGCGAGTGGCATAATATTTTATTGGGTGTGAACCTTGGTAACCAGCTGACAGTTGTCATGTCATCATCTGTCAAAGAGAGTCCCAGACCATCAAGAGTACAATATTTCAAATGCAAATTTGGATTGTTTCTCCACGCAGCCCTGATATGAGAAGGTGTAAAGAATAAAATTAACTGTGACGTAGTACTCGAAATCAAACTACGTAGGTCACCAGCATTAGAACCGTTTATAAAATAAATGAAAAGGTTTTAGCTAGTTACATGCGTAATTCCTACCGCGCTTTTTGAAGTAACCGACAGTTGTAGGAAATTTGAGAGGTAACAAGGAGGAAGTAGGGAATTAAAGTCTCGGGGCTGTTAGAATATTTACTATATCCAAACTGGAGGAGCTGCATGAAGTTTTAGAGAGATAACACCGCCTGAAGTGCCTCGAGGTTATTGTTTCTACAAGCCATATACATTATCACGTTCCTCGCATTTAATTTTCAGGTAATATTCATTTCTTCCAAAAAGTTCAGCGGTATCAATTACTAAGTTTGCCTCAGTATAACTTTCTTTTTGTCGTACGATAGTCTTCTATGAGTCGGTTTCTTTGGATTCTGGGGAGGTTAAAACCTCCCCAGCAAGTTATTCCTTATAAATATTTATTTAAAATTTCAACACGTTTCTCTACTGAGACCATCAACCTCGCCAAGTTCCTCTCCATCAAGTCTGCTTAATTGCTCCAGCAACGCAAAGAAATATCATCGGATAATATCGTTTTAGTTCTATCAAAACTGCACGTAAATGGCAAAGCGAAGAAGCAATGAGCCGGTGACTCAAAGTACAATCGGAGGTAGTTTGCACTCGTTATTAAATAGTTTCCTATGAAAAGTACTACTCTCGTAATAATACGGCAAGTTATCTAATCCCTTGAATGACAATTTTCCATTGAGGCAAAGACAAAATTATTAACATTGTTTTTGATTTTAGACATGCGCAGACCTCTGTGTACTTCGATGCATTCTTGTGATGGTGTTTTCCGTTGCCAAGGTCTAGCATTTAATCCGAGCCTTTTATCCTCCATTCGATTAGCAAACATATAAAAACTAAAGTTAAATATAATGACTGCTTCAAAATCAATATTACTCTAGTTATTCAGATAAGAAGCACCTGGTTTTATCATTCGGGACAAAATCAGCTGCTCCTTTTAGTAACAAGGGACGCAATTTATCAACGGACAGTTTGACATATTTTAATATTCCATTCTAACTGACCACTTCGCCGATGCCACGCTTTTCCGAGTCTTTTCATTCCAAAAAAAATATACGACTCCCTTCTCGATTTATTATACCGAGTTTAGTAATTATGCAGAATTTTATAAGTATCCGTTGCAAACTCATGGAGTATAGGATCCGAAACTTGCCAATGTTGACAAAGAGAAGTATAGACTTGCCCCCTGGCAAGCATTACTTTGTAAAACTTGGTAAGTCTAAGGTCCTTTATTAACGTTATTTCGCAACGGATTTTTATGAAACTTCGCATATTTACGAAATTCGGCTGATAAACTGCTCTGTGTTTTTCTTTTAATTTCTATTTTTTTTTTTTTTTCCTATAGGTGTATTTTGTTTTGTTTCGTTTTTTTTTTCTTTTTGTTTACACCAAATATGCAAAAATAGTGTTCATATTATTGCGTGACAAAGTGGTCCGTTGAACTGACAATTAATTCAATACTTTAAAAAAACCGCTTTATGCAACGACAAGAGCGTGAAAATTTTCCCCGAATTTTCCAAATTTCTTATCAGAAATCGATCTGATCGAGGAACAATTAAGGATCCCATAGCACCTTTTCCTTTTAAGAACAAGTCTGATCTGTTTATAAGCGCAGTATACAGTCAACTCACGATAACTGGAACCCTCAAAAAAAAATTGTAAAAGGTTCGAGTTCTCGGAAATTGAAAACAAATGACCGGCCGGAAAGAAAGAAAAAACAGTGTTTTACGTATTTCTATTCATACAGTGCACATTTTAATCAAATTTAATTCTAGAGAAGTCAAGTGAAAATGATACGATACATTTCTAAATTACTGAATAAATCAGAACGTATAAACTTCATGGGAAACAAAAGAAAGCAAAGCAAAGCAGCAGGAGAAGTCCAGGTATTGTAAACTTTGCAGATTTAAAAGAGAACGATGTTGGGCTACTGCTACAGAGTTCAGGCGATTTACGTTTTCAAGAATAGTTTCAATGTATAAGACCACAACACTGATTGTTTTGAGTTTTCACGTATTGGCAAACATGGTTCAACTTATCGACGTTAAAATCACGTAGAAAATGGCCTGAAGAGAAATGAAAATAGCTCCCAGTTAGCGGGAGGCTCGAGTTACCAAGGGTAAATCTACAGTCTGATGTATGACGAAAATCCAAGGGAAACCGATTTTGGCCCGAGTTAGTTAGGCCGAGCTTCGAGTTAGCGAGCGTTCGAATTATCGGGAGTCGACTGTATTCCTAAGCGTTAAAGAAACAAAAAGGTTGATCTTCTCAGAGTTTATATTAATTACAGCTAGCGTCAATATCAGTTTCCTAAGGTTTTTGATCGAAGAATTGAAAGATCGTCTTATTAGACTTATTCCACGAGCGCATGTTGGGTATAGCCATGATTGATAGCTAACGAGGAGCGTAGCACCGAGTTGGTACAGTCATCTCATATCCAACAAGCGCGAGTGAAATAATTGTTTGTAGAAAACAAATATCACATAAAAATAAAATTGAAAAAGCCGCCAAAAAGAAACTCTTAAAAAATCTTTAATTGCATTGTCCAATGATCCACTCTTTGATTAATAACAGATGCCGTCCTACAATGCAAATAAAACCACGCTTGACTAAATATTAGATTTTCTAACTCTATTTCTCTGTACATTTTATAACTCATTTAAATAATTTGCCACCACGTTCTTCGTAAAATAATTTTGACTCCTTTGCTCGTTCTAACCTTGCACAAAACGCGAACGACATGATTAAAATAGGCCACTTCCGAATTACTTCTTTCTCAAAGCGATTCTTGGTGCCCGTCCCTTCATATGCAAATGCATGTCATTCACGTGCAAATTAATAATGGTTGAGCAGCAGGCCTCGCTTTGATAGAGAGGCTTAGGTCAACTCGGAAATGGGCTATGGAATAGACCATATTCGTATTCACGGTATTGGACTGGAACTAGCTTGCAATGGAGGCTCATGCGGGGGAAAATAATTATAAAGAGATAAAAGTCATTTGTATTTGAAAAGACTTCCCGCGTTAGCCTCAGTTGTAAGCTGGCTCCAGTCCAATACGGAGAATACGAATATGACCTACTGTCTAGCCATCGATACAATTTGGAATAAAGCGGCATGTGATTTTGACCATTCCCAAGTAGAATTATTAGCCTGCAGATTCGTTTATCTCTTGTTCTGTTCGTCATTCACTTGTAGCTTTCACAAGACATTTTGGTGCAATACGGAATCAGGAATAAGGCCAGGGGTAAAAAGAGAAGAGAAAGAGAGATGAAAATAATTTACTCAGGTTTTAATTTTAATAGACAAGCTATAGGGTGTGGTGTCAAAAAAATATCGAAACAAGCTGTTCATTTTAGTACATATGCATGATGAACTTAACTCACATTGATGGATCCGGGTCCATATATATATTTCTGAAGTCTATACTTCATCCATCTCTTTTTTCAATGTCAATATCGTTTTCCATTTCGAGTCTGGCACCGCACAATTAACTGCACATTCTGGATTACTGCATGCCGGACCATTTTTAGTCAAATGTAGTTAGTAGCGGTAGTAAATATGAAAACTAAACTTCCTGTGGATTACCAAAACCGTGCTGTCGTTTCGATACTACACAATAGAAGTGGTTTTCGTAACTAACCAAAAAAATAGGTCCGCATTGCGTACGCGTGTTTAATGCGTTTTCAGTCAACTGGAGCCATAACCAGAGATGGAGAAAGGGTGAGCCGTTCATGGAGTAGTGGAACAAATCATAAGATTTAAGCAGGAAATGTTATTGACAGAATAAGACTTTGTTTACCGAGGGATGTCAAATTAACTTGTACATGAAGTGTCGAGGTGGTTTCCTGGAATTACTAAGCCTGTAAGTCCTGAATTACACTGAAGTTATGATATTAAGTTTTTATCATGATTGTAAAGGAAATATAGACATGTTGAACAACAATCAATTTGCATGGAGAATTTGCTAAGTTCTTTCATTGAAATGAAACTGTAAGCACAATAAGAAGAAACCAATAATGCCAACACACTGTACATTTTTTATACTTCTTACAATAGCTTGTTGTAAGGTTACATGTTAATCAATGGATAGTGGTTTGTAGAATATCTGCTGGACAGAAGAGTGTTCCTGATGACGGAATCAGAGTCTCCAAGTGGTTGTCAGAATACAGTAGTTACACAAAGAGTTCTGTGAA